CCGCGATGTGAGGGCGATCTGGCTGCGACATCTGTCACCCCATTGATCGCCAGGGTTGATTCGGCTGATCTGGCTGGCTAGGCGGGTGTCCCCTTCCTCCCTCACCGCTCCATGTGCATCCCTCCCGAAGCTGCGCGCTGGGTCGAAGAGGACGGCCTTCCCCGATAGAGACGGACAGGTCTTCAGTCGAGGGTATACGAGTAGCTGCGCTCCCCTGCTAGAACCTCCAAACAAGCTCTCAGATCTCACTCATTTGCGGAATATAAAGAAACATAGTAGGGGCTGGAGTGATAGCACAGCGAGTAAGGCGTTTGCCTTGCACGCAGCCAACATGGCCAACACAGGTTCGATTCCCAGCATCCCATATGGTCCCCCGAGCACTGCCAGGAGCAATTCCTGAGTGCATGAGCCAGGAGTAACCCCTGAGCATCGCTGGGTGTGACCCAAAAAGCAAAAAAAAAATAAAAAATAAAAAAATAAAGAAACATAGTATGGGGCTAGAGCAATAAATAGTACAGTGGGTAAGGCCTTGCATGTGGCCAACATGGGTTCAATTTCCGGCATCCAATATGTTCCTCCAAGCACGGCCAGGAGTAATTCCTGAATGAAGAGCTAGGAGTAACCCCTGAGCATTATCAGATGTGACACCAAAAGAATGAAAAAGAAACATAGTAGGGAAGTAAGAATACCCAAAGACAATGGAAATGAAGGATAGGAGAACTATGACAGAGTTCCCAGTTAGGACACTTGCCACAGAGTGGGGTAGAGGAGAGAACAGGAAAGGTACCACTATGACAAAGAGAGAAGTGATCATTCTGGACAAGAACTGGGTGCTGGAAGGAGGTAAATTGATATGCATGGTACCTTTTCAGTAACAGCATTACAAACTAGAGTGCCTAAAAAGAAAAAGAAAAAGAAAAAAATGCCTGCTGTAGAGGCAGGCTGGGTGGCCAGGGGCAGGCAGAAGGGAAGAAACTGGGGTCATTAATGGAGAGAAGAGGACACTGGTGAAGGGATTGGTGCTCAGACCTCTTAGAGTAGCTGTAACTCTCCATGATTAAATAAATAAGTAAATAAACAAATAAATAGCTTGCTGAATGTGACCCCTGACCAGAACAACCAATTTTTTTCCTTTTTGGGTCACAACCGCTGGTACTCAGGGGTGCTCCTGGCTCTGCACTCAGGAATCACTCCTGGCTGTGCCCAGGGGACCATATAGGATGCTGGGAATTGAACCTGGGTCGGCTGTGTGCAAGGTAAACGCCCTACCTGTTGTACTATAGCTCCAGCTCCCAAGTTTCTTTTAAAAAAATATATAGGCCTGCAAATAGCAAGGCACAGCCTTGCCCCAGACTGTCATCTAACATTTTTCATTCCAGTTTGAGTTAAGGTCCTAACAACTTTTTGATTTTATCTATTTATTTTTGAAACATGTTATTTATTTTTAGGACCCTAGTTATTTTGTTTGTTTTTTCATTTTTAAATTGAATCACTATGAGATATACAGTTATAAGGTTACATGATCAGGTTTCAGTTACACAGTGTTTCAACACGTATCTCTCCACCAGTGCCTAACAACTTTGTAAAGGAGCCTTTTTAATAAAACATTTTTTAAAATGTAGGAGATATTATGCTTTGTAACAGTTGTAACAGTAACGTTTCAGGAATGCAGTGTTGCTACATGGCACCCATCACCAGAATACCAGCATCCCAGATCAGTGTACTTCCTTCTCGCTGATTTGTCTTAGCAAATTCACTTTTTTTGTTACATCTAGCATTGCTCAGGATTTTTGTCTTGCTCTTTGCTCAAGTATCAGTCCTGGAAGGGCTCAGGGGACCATATGGGATGTCAAGGATCGAAACCAGGTTAGCCACAAGGCAAGCACACTACCTGCTGTACTATTACTCTTGTCCCAGCAATCTCATTTAATTTTAATTTTAATTTTAAATTTTAAAATTTTTATTGATTGATTGATTGATTGATTGAATCACCATGAGATACACAGTTGAAAAGTTTTTCATGGTTGGGTTTCAGTTATACATGTTCCAACATCCGTCCTTTCACCAGTGTACATTTTCCACCACCAATGTCCCCAGTTACCTTCCCGCCCCCCTCCCTCCCTCCAGCCTGCTTCCCCGATGGTAAGTCCTTCTCTCTCTCTCTCTCTCTCTCTCTCTCTCTCTCTCTCTCTCTCTCTCTCTCTCTCTCTCTCCTCTACCTTTGCTTTGGGCATTATGGTTTGCAATACGGTACTGAAAGGTTATCATGTTTGTCCCTTTAACTACTTTAAACACTCAGTTCTTGTCCAGAGTGATCATTTCCAACAATCATTGTCATAGTGGTCTTAGCTCTATCCCAACTACCCTCCCCCACACTTGTGGCAGGTTTCCAACAGTGGACCAATCCTCCTGGCTCTACTGTCCTTGGAGCAATTTCACTTCTATCAGCAAACTCTCATCATGTTTTTGTTGGCCACTGCTTATGTCCTCAGTATGTTTCCTTATACCCCACAATCTGAGTAATATTTTCCAATATTTGTCCTTGCCCCTGTAACTGACCCTCCAATTCCATCCAAAGTGCAGCAAACTGCAGGATTTCATTTTTTCTTATAGCTGAGTAATATTCTATTGTGAACATATGCCACTTCTTTTAAAAATATTCGGGGGGTAGGGAGTGCCAGAGCCATAGTACAATGGGTAGGTTGCTTGCCTTGCATGCAGCTGACCTGGGTATGATCCTTGGCACTACACGTGGTCCCCTGAGCCCCACAAGAAGTGACCCCTGAGTGCAAAGACAGGAGTAAGCCCTGAGCACTGCCAGATGTGTCCCAAATACAAACAAACAAAATATTTGGGAGGGATGTTGGTCATACCCAGTGACCTGGGCTATGTGCTCAGTGTTAAAAATGATTTTAGGAGATGTTTGGAAACCGTAAACTCACCAATTTCTCAGCTGTGTAAGATGACTGAGCTGCCACATAGCATCTAAGAACCCATGGAATTTGCAGACAGACCCAACTTTGAGGCCTCTCATTCATTCCCCCTCTTTGCTAAAAATAAAAATGCCCATCATTAGCTGGGACTTAGAACAAGCAGAACAAGCTGAGAGAGAAGAAAAGTCTAAAAAGTAAAGCCAAGGGGTGGTGAGATTTACAAGAGCCCTTTAACACTCTGTCCTCTGACTTTTCAAGATCTCACCTACTTGCTCTTTCACAAGTATATTTGGGATATGTAGCTCTTGAGCACAACCAACAATCCTGACACAAAGGAACCTGCATCAACTTGAGTCAAGTCATTTTGCAATCCTCTCCCACCAATTTGGCTGAACCCGATTCTTGCCATTTTTTTCCTGTGAGCAGAGATCCTGAGACCCTATTCAGTTATGCTGTTAGAGAAATGTAAAGGAAAGGCAGAGGAATCCTATGAAAAGGCAGAGTGTTGTGGGGTCAAACCTAGGATTAATTTGGGCATTGCTCAATTCTTTCACAACACTGTGGCTCTAAATCTAAGCCAGGTCTTGGACTTCTGATACTCCTAGTTAAAGATGCGACTTAACAGGTTCACCTTAAGATGGAGGCAAATATCCCAAACTTGTTTTCTTTCCCAAACCTGTCACACTGGGATTATTGACCTTTGAGTGGTCTGTAGATAAACATATTAAGTGAAGGTAATGGTGACACAGCAGTCTCTGTAGAGCAATTTGCTTCCTAGGGGGCATTGCACAATGTCTAGAGTCCCTTTAGGTTATCAAAATTAGTGCAGATGGGGTGCTGTAACAAGAGGGTAGAGGGCATGGATGCTATTCAATACACCACAATACACATAACACTGTTATTTGGACAGCAGCTGAGAAGATCTACTATGGGAGGCAAAGGTGGTGTTTGCTTTTTAAGCAGAAAGATAACACTATTTGGCAACAAAAGACCAGGTTCATTGCACAATGGTAGGCTAATATTGTTGGAAAGATATTCAGAACCAGGTACTAAAAGATGGCCTTTTGAGGTAGGGGTATCTCAGTTTGAGATTGACGAAACTGATCTATAACCCAACATACATACAAGAATAAACATTTTTGGGGCTGAAGCGATAGCACAGTGGACAGGGCTTTTGCCTTGCACTCGGTTGACCTGGATTCGATTCCCAGAATCCCATACGGTCCCCAGAGCACTGCCAGGAGTAATTCCTGAGTTCAGAGCCAGGAGTAACCCCTTGCAATGCTGGGTGTGACCCAAAAAGAAAAAATAACATTTTCTACATGGTTTTAGGGCCTCACCGGGCTGTGCTCAGGGTTTACTCCTTGCTCTGCACTTAGGGATTGCTCCTGGCAAGGCTCAGGGGACCAGATGGGGTGCTGAATATCGAACCCAGGATGGCTACTGTACTTTCCAACCCTTTTGTCTTTCAAGGAACTGAGTAGAGTTCAGTGGCAGCTAGAAAATGATAGGCTATATATCCAGGACAGCCACATGTATGGCAAGGGCCTTGCCAGTGCACTATATATTTGCAACATTAATAAGCTGTATGGATGGTTAGATTTTCACCCTACATCTGCCAAGTTGGGAGGGGAATAGGAAAAGCACATACATGAGCCAGTTAAACTTAGGGATAAGCTAATGCAATCTTTCCCAAAATGGATAGCACAACTCTGGTAGGGTGCTGAAAAGATCCAGGGGGCCACTGAGTGACTTACTTGTAGTAGGCCCAGTAAATTTGGGAACCTTCGAACTAGTGCAATTATGAATGACCAGAGAAAAGCAGACACTAATCTTAAGTATAAAGAATCAAATAGGAAAAAGACCACATTGGGCAGATTGTTTCAGCCAAGCTCAGAGGCTCAGCGTCCTCTCCTGTCTTAAGCCAATGTCTTCCCATGTCTCTATGCCCATGTAAGACTCAGGAAGATCAACACCACAGCACGTGTAAACATGTGTACCGTATGCTGTTAACTAGCCCAATAGTAGAAAAGCAAATAGAAAAAAACCACCAAAAGGCCACGAATCATACTTAATTGGCTTTATTTAAGCATAGGATCCATGATCCAACTTTGCCCCTTAAAATGCCTTTTCATCCACTGCTCTGCTTGGCTGCCAGTCTTTTGTCTCTCTCTTCAGCAATGGTGAGGCGGATGCCTTTTCCTCGGGGAAGAGAAATCCATGGTTTGTTGCCCTGAAGAAAACAATCATAAATCAGTAATTATCACAGACCAATGCCATAGTATCATCATGCCTAACATCTGTCATAAAAAGGACATATTCGTTCCTGCCTAGCTCTGTAAGCTGAGAAGCTGCCCTTAAAGAGCAACCCAAACTCACCTTGCCAATCACAAAAATGTTGGAGAGGCGGGTGGCAAAGCTATTGCCATTGGCATCTTTCACATGGACGACATCAAAAGAACCAGGATGTCTCTCTCTATTGGTGATCACACCAATTCTTCCCAAATTAGCACCTCCAGTCACCATGCACAGGTTACCTAGGCAGGAGGGACAGAATTTACTCAGTGAAAGACACATCCATTCATAATACAATGTACTGAACTGCAGAAAGTGATCTAAAAGCCCAGTCATTCTTTTTCACCCATCTGAGTTTTACTAATCACATCATGACTCTCTGCACACCTAACAAATGTTAACAGCACCTCACTACTATTTCCCTACTACCATTCCTTCAAAGTCCAAATTCATGTGACTGACACGTGTGCATATCAGAACCACCTAGATGACTTTAAAGAAATACAAACCTGTACCCAGGTCCAGTCCGACTCACAACACTTGTTCGCCGGCTTACAAAGTCAAAGAACAGTTTGCAGAGGCAGGTAAAGATACTTACCAGTGTCAAATTTGATGAAATCTGTGATCTTGCCAGTTTCCAAGTCAATCTGAATGGTGTCATTCACCTTAATGAGGGGGTCTGGGTATCGAATGGTGCGAGCATCGTGTGTCACCAAGTGAGGGATTCCTTTGGTGCCCACAAAGATCTTCCTCACTTTGCACAACTTGTACTAAAAACACATATTAGCCATAATCAGTTTTGCTCACAAGCATCATAGTCCACAACCCTAGAGGGGTGTTCCTGATTTTCCAGAGCCTCCATTACTTTCTGGGACCAGAATCCTGTCTAGCCTAGACTGCTTTTAATTTATACCTCCCTGTAGGTCCCAGAACCTCAAATTCCTGCTAAATGACTTAAAGGGTGGCTGGCTACCCTTGCCATCTTCCAATATAATTGTCCATTTCCCAGGCAGTAAGGGTGCTGAGAATTCTATCATAAAGTGCCCCTCACACAAGTGCTCAATGGTTCACTCTACATCACAATTGTGCTTGTTTCAGTAGCTGACAACTGCATTGCTTGTTCATCCAATCAACAAAACCCTCAAACAAGATTTCAACCCATGTTGACATCTAAGTGAAAATTCAATCACCCTGATGCCACTGGACTTGCCCTCCAGCCTGCCGATAACAAGGCAGCTAAGGAAATTAGGATCTGAATAACCCTATTAAATTAACTTTCATTTCCAGCCAATAACTCAAGCCCCAAATGTTTGTGCAAAACTGGCACAACAAACTGGATTAAATGTTTGCAATCTCTTTAAAGCTATTTCAAACCAGTGCCTGAGGGTTATCAGTCTTCACCATTAATGAAGCCCTGGGTGCTAAGTATTGTTTTCTGAAAAGGGGGCAATAGGCCATTAAGTTTGGGATTGTCTGGACTAGATGTTTTCTAGTTCCCTTATCCTTGAAAGACCTATATACACCTCAGGCCCTCACAAATAGATGTCCCTAGAAACCACTTTCCTTGCTTCTAAGAGACAACCAACCAGTTAAGTCTTCCAAACTGGGACTCATTTCTGTCACAACAGCATAGAACTATCAACTGCTTCCAAACGTATCATAACTTGTCTGAAATGACCTCATTTCAAGGCAGAAACTCATCTACTTAATTGAGGCTGGAACACCTGGTAATTATTAAGTCTGCCCTCAACACTCACCTTAGCCTCCTCAGGAGTAATGCGATGAACAGCAAAGCGTCCTTTGGTGTCATAGATCAGCCGGAAATTCTCTCCTGTCTTATCAATACTGATGACATCTGATAGCAAAGAGTAACAAAGGTTACTCTTACAACCCTCCACTATCCAATGCTGAGTAACCACTCCAAGGGGATCCCCCAACTTCCATTTCTGTCAGGATTTCTAAGATGGGTAACTAGAGGATCTGTAATGTCTTCGCAATGGGTTTTCACAAAGACACAATTTTAACAAAAAAAAAAGGGGGGGGGAGGCTTGGTTTGTGACTGAAAAATGCCAAGTCTCTTCACTGCAAGTATTGTTTGAGAAGACCCTAAGAGTCATGTGGCCACCACTAAGCACTTACCCATAAAACCTGCTGGGTAGGTTATATCAGTTCGGACCTTGCCATCAATCTTAATGAATCTCTGCATGCAGATCTTCTTCACCTCGTCTCCTGTTAGAGCATACTTAAGTCTATTCCTTAGGAAAATGATGAGTGGAAGACACTCTCTCAGTTTGTGGGGGCCAGTGGATGGACGAGGAGCCTAAAAAATAATAGTCTTAACTGTTGGGATTCATGGTAGCACTCAAACCCTCCCAAAAGTCTGACATTTAAACAGATGACTAGCCCATCGACCCCCATTTGGGAGAACATGCAAGCTTAGAAAACAACACTACCCCAGGCTTTAAAGCTTGACATACTGCCCTCCCCCACCACTCCGCCCCCAAGACCCATTAAGTGCTACCATATGAGGCCAAGTATACTCTGTGGAAGTGAAACCAAAAATATCAGGAGGCAGGGTGCAAACTAGACAGTGTTTAAAGACAGAGGGAACTATGAATATTATCGCCCTACTCCTGGTCCCAGAAATGAACTACAACTTTGAGAAAGTTTCCTGGATACAGTAACAATCGGGTTACCCTACATACAAACTATCTCAAGGTGCTACATTCTAGCGATCCTTAGAGCTGCTTACAACTTATACTATGTTTATAACCATACTTACAAACACCCCTGTCAGTTTATCAAGCATCCAATGCTTTGGAGCTGCCACACGCTTCAGGTGCTTCTTGGGACCACGAGCCTGAAAAAGGTTTCCGTTTATTCAAATTAACAGCTGGCAAAAGAACTTCAATGAACAAGTTTCATAGGAAAGAGAAATTCAACACCTAGTTTTCAGCAATTAAGCGACTCCATGCCGGTAAAACGGCCAGAAGCTGGGCCTTGTTGCCGACAGACATCAGAAATGGTTCAGAATCCAATCTGCACTATTTGCAAAAGAGTTTGCTTCCACAATATAACCACTTGGTTTGTTTCCTGATTTCTGGAGCGACAGGAATCTGACCTCAGCACATGCATGAGCCCGTAGCTGACATCTTATTTCCCTATCAAAATACCGGACTTTAAAACACTGTACAAGTGTTAGGGGCCACCCAGCCTAACGTCAGGCTATGCCCTCCAAAAATGACAGGGCAAAGAAAACTCCTCTGCTGGGGATACCGGGCACTCGACCAGCTCCAGCCTCAGAGCCCCACTTTTCCCAGGACCACAGGCTGCGATTCCGGACGTGAGACGGAGGCCTTCCAGCCAGCAGTACTGAATTCCCACCCTCTAAGGGCCCACATCTGTTCTCGCTCTGGAGCAGTCTCGGGTCGACCCTGCAGGGCGCGTTCCCTTTGCCTCCACCCGGTAACCCAGTGCGGGAGCTCCGAAGGCATAAGCGGCCTCTGCCACGAGGGGATGGGGGCCGATGCACTTCGGGAGCTCGCAAAGAAGCCACCTTACCATGGTTGCGCTAGGCAAGCAAAGAGGACCGCCTCTTCCGGCGTTCAGGGAAAAAACGGGTTAGAGGATGCGCGCGCCGGCGCTTTGAATGCTCCGCCCAGCCCTGACGCTTTCCGGAGCTCAGAATTTGATCTTGCCACCTGCTGGTGGGAGGTCGGCAGCTAAGGAACACTCTTCCTAAAAAGAGGTGTTGCTTAAGAGTAATTTTTACCTTCCATCCCAGTTTCTGGATTTGATTCTGTGCTAGGTTCTGGAAATACAACGATGCACTATGCCTTCCAGAAAGCTGTAACATGAGGATATTTTGACTCGCATGCAACTGGGTACTTACCATATAGTCAATAGAATAAATATCCTTGATGAGGAGCCAGAGAGGCCGTTCGTGGGCGATGACTTGGGGTCTCGTTGGGGTGGGGTGGACAGGTCCGGTTCCACCCCATCCGGTGAGGCCCAACAAGTTTCGTCACTGCGGGTCCAAGCCTGACTGTCCAGTGGCCTCTGGAGGATGATGGCCACCGAGCTGCCAGAAGGAAACAGGCGAAGGGACAGCACCCTTTCCCCCCTGGGGTAGCCTGGCGACAGTAACCTACTGCGGGGTCCGGACACATTTCTGCCAAAAGCCGCTGGGTTTCGAGACCAAATAAAAAATTTTAAAAACATTTTTTATCCCTTCCTGTATCCCTCAAGACAGCCAGCCTGCAAGATCTAAAGACAATTTCCCTTCTTTCTTGCTTCCCTGTAGACCTTCTCAGAGACGGGAGGTGGGTGGTAGGAGGACATGATCTCTGCTTGCACCTTGGTACCCTGCCCCTTGCTTCATGTTCAAGGAATTTGGTACTTAACACAAAGTCTCCGGGAAGAACAGGGACATTTAAAGAACATCATGGGCTGCAGCGACAGTACAGTGATAGGGTGTTTGCCTTGCAAGCTGCTGGCCTAGCGAGGCAGGTTCAATTCCTCCACCCCTCTCGGAGAGCCCAGCAAGCTACTGAGAGTATCTCGCCCACATGGCAAAGCCTGGTAAGCTATCCGTGACATATTCGATATGCCAAACACAGTAACAACAAGTCTCATAATGGAGATGTTACTGGACCCGCTCGAGCAAATCCATGAACAATGGGAGTACAGTGCTATTCATGGGCCAGAGAGATAGTATAGCAGGTTGGGTGCATGCCTTTCTTGAAGCCAATGGAGTTTGATCTCTGGCACTATGTATGGTTCTCTGTGACCTGCCAGGAATGATCCTTGAGCACAGAGCCAAGAGTAAGATCTGAGCACAGCATGATGTGCCTCTCTCCCCACCAAAGATAATGATTTTTCAAACTAAAACTTGTATTTACACGGAGATCTCAGCCCCGGGACCTGCGTGTCTGTGTTCCTCTGCCGGTACCTTCATGCGTGTGGAGAGTGGCCACACGACATCTTATTATCTCATTCCTACTTTGGACAAACTGACAGGCTACTGAATGTAACCTGCTTACACGGCAGAGTCTGGCAAACTCCCCGTGGCGTACCCAATATGCCAAATACCAGTAAAAATGATGGGTTTCATTCTCCTTACCCTGAAAGAGCCTTGAATATGGCACTTTTTAAAAAATCTCAGGGCTAGAACGAAAGAGACGTTACTGGGGTCTGCTCGAGGCAATCGACAAACAACAGGATGGTCGTGATCATGATCGTGAAAACTTGTATTTGATCATGACCCTCACTTGCTCTCCCCCATGCTAAACCTCAAAGTTTAAGCTCTTTGACTGCTCTGAGAAAGCTGGTTCTATCAAATCTTCTGCATATGTACAGCTGATTCATTAGTACAGCTGATTCATTAGCCTGGGACAGGCCCAAGTAGCCCATTTCTGTGCACCTATTTCCACTCTCCTTTTCCCCCCTTTCCAGCATACACATATAGCTCAACTCTGTCTGACCTCCAGTTCTCTATGCAGGATAGATCCCACGTAAGTCCTGCTCCAAGTTCTCTTTTCAAACTCTACTTAACACTTTGGATTATAATGATTAGTTTTACTCTTCATTCTCCATCACCTGTTAGCCTTTGAGCATCTCTGTGAGAGCCTGGCCTCATTCATCAGGGCAGGGAATTTGTACTGTATCTAGCACTTGGTAAATATTTGTTGAATGAATAAATTGAGGCAATATCCCATTCATAAATTTGCCTTGGGAGCATGAAACCTATGTTTGAACTCCTGTCATTGGGCCAAGCACCCAACTCAAGAGGTTCCTTTTTATAATCTTGTCTCCATTCTCCCCTTCCCTTCACCACTCAGCAGTCTGCAGAGGAGCCAGAACAAAAACAATGGCCTCTTCTCAATCAGTATTTATCTATGAGGGTAGGGACACTGTGTCAAATATAAAGTTCATGATAAAATATGATGTAAATAATTATTAGAAAGAAGAGGGCATAAGTGGGGAGAGAGACAGAAAGGGACAGAGTCAGAGACAGAGAGGATAAAGACGATGAAAGGCAGATTCTGGGGTAAGGGCTTGCCTTGCACATGGCCAACTTGAGTTTGTTACCTGGCACCCCATATGGTCCCCTTAGCCCCGCCCGGAGTAACTCCTGAGCGCAAAGCCAGGAGTAAGCCCTGAGCACATCTGAGTATGGCCCCAAAACCAAATAAACCCCAAATAAATAACAATGAGAAGGGGAACCTGAGAAATAGTCAGTAGGTGAGGTTTTGCCTTGCTCAGCCCAATCCCTTTCTGGCCCAAGCCTGGCCAGAAGTAAACCTGGTGTGGTCAAAAAAAGGTAAAATAAAATAATGAGAGTTGATTTGGGAGTGAGGGATGACCATGAGTCTTCTAGCTAGAGGGAGTAGTAGAGATGACTGGTTAATGTGGCAGATTTTATTTAATCATGATCACACGGCTAGTTGGAGGTGGGAGGGTGGAGTAAGAAAATTGGTTTCTTGTCTCCTAGGTCAGTGGTTTGTTTCTTTTTGTACCACAGCTTGTTGGAGGACTTGAGGGAATCAAAGCACCTTTTTCAGAATATTTTTTCTCTGTCAAATTTGTATTTATGTACAAATATCATTCTAACAACAATAAAAGGAATTTTGAAAGTGGCATGAAAATTAAAAACACGGTATCTCACCAAACGCTTTAAAGACATCATCTGTATTCATTTGTTCTTGTTCCTGTTCTCATTTTGATCGATTTGTGTGCATGCATACTTTTACATAATTTTAGTCCTAGCATACAAGCTATTTTGTATTCTGCTTTAATTATATTGTAAACACATTCTGAGTTGCCACATAATCTTCATAATTATTATTTTAACAGCTGCATCATATTCCATTAAGTGGATGGCCTTAATTAATAATAATTCTCCATTGAACATCTAGTTCTTTTTCACTATTTCTTGATTATGAATGCTGCTACAGTGAAAAATTTACTTCATATGGCTTTTTCCTTCAGTTTGAATGAATTGGTTCCTTCGCCCAGCATTTTTTGCCTGCTCTGTGTCAAATTCTGTTTTATGAGCAAGGCCTGCAGACACGATTAAGATATAGTTTCTGCTTTCAAAGAATTCACCTTACAATGGGGAAGGCTGACTGGAAGGAGGGGATAAGAGCCAGGAGAAACTCATTAGAGAAAAGAGGCAGGTTGGAACACAGAGGTCTGTTAAATCTTAAGGTTCTTGGACTTTGTGCCTTAGGTAGTTGAAAAATTTTAAGGAGTATGCACACAATCAGTTTTGTATTTTAAAAAGATAAATTCCACTGCTCCCTGTAGAATGGTTTGAGGGAAGTGTGAGTGGCTTAGGGGAGATAGGTTAGGGCTATTTGAAAAATACAAACAAGAAACAGAAGGGTGAGACCCACGTCTGTGACTATTGGACTGTGGGAGAGCGGGAGGCAGATTAAAAAGGCATTGTAGGAGCCAGAGTGATAGGACAGTGATTACTGTGTTTGCCTTGCATGCGGCTGAGCATTGCGGCTGATCCGGGTTCGGTCCCTGGCACGCCATATGGCTCCAGAGCCCAGGTGGGAGTAATGTCTGATACTGGTGTGATGGGGTTGAGATCTGAGGTCGGGTAAACCATACACATGGAATTTGATCATGGCTGATTGTAAAGTTGGGCGCTATGAATAACTGTAAATTACAGTACCTCAATAAAAAATATATTTTTTAAAAAGGCATTATAGTTGGGATACTGACAGAATTTGGCTGGAAAATTATGAATATGTAGGGGTGAGGGACAAGGAGGTCATTGGAACAACTACTTGTTTTTTTGTTTTGTTTTGTTTTGGTGACTCTGTGGTCCGTTCACTTGGAACAAAGAGGAAGCATACTTGGTCTGAGACATCTAGGGTTGAGCATATGTTGTGGGGTGAGCAACCAACTGAATGTGCCTTATAGCTAGAGGCCTGAGCTTAGGTACATGATCTGCAATAGAGCTTTTCACTGGACAGAGCTGGTTTACCTGTGCTAAGTTCATGGAAAGGACTAGCAGTAGCTGTTGGAAATGGAGCACAGTCAAGAGTCTGAACACTTGACAACACATATGCGTATCACCAAAAACTTTCCTCAGGGGTTCCTTGCAAATTTACTTTATTTCTACTGGGCATGTCATTAGTTCTTTTATACTTTTACTAGTGAAATAGTTTTGATCTATTTCATTTGCTCTTGAAAAAACCTCTAGCAGGGGCAAGGGAGATAACTCAAAGGGCTGAAGCATATGCTTTACATGCAGGAGTCCCAGGTTTGACCCTCAGCACAGTGTCAGAAGTGACCTCCACCAGCACTGCAGTGCGCTGGTGAACGTTTTGCCATTTGTCTGCTTACTCATTCCATTTCCTCTCGTGTCAAGTGTCATCTCCAATTAACCTTAAGGAACATATTTTTCTGATCAATCAGATTTTGAATACTTAATAGATAACAGAAGTTCATCCTTTCTCATTTGTGAGACCAACATTTTTACCAACTGTTATATTCTTTTTGGTTTTATTTCTCTCCACACCAAGTTTCAAAATTTTATATAGCCAAATCTGTTGATCTTTTCCTGTAATTTCTCTTGTGAATCCAAAATTTAGGAAG